TGGGAATTTGGGTTGCTTCCAACTCCTTGCAATTGTGAACTGTGCCGCGATGAACATTGGAGCACAGATCTCTGGCCTTGGTTTGTTTCTTGCCTCTTCATAAAGGCAACTATTGAGCAGGGCCATGCTGTAAGAGCTACCTGCTCTTGAATCAGAAGCCCCTGTCTTTTAACCCGGTGATTCATTCAGACTAACCCCATGTTCTTCTCTCTTACATGTTCTCCCAGGTCTTTGTAAAATATCTTTCCCTCTATTTGTCCTTTACCCTTTTTAGAATCCAATATCTATTAAACTTCATCTGAGGGCCAGCAAGGTCAAGGCCTCATGCATCCAGAATCTTCACAAAATGCATACCTCTTAGCTGCTGACAGGACCAAACACTGGCCTCAGACCATGAGACAGAGCTGCCACTCTGGGCCCTTGTGCACAAACTAGAGAACTCTATGGCTCGGGCTGTACCCACGTGTCAGGCTACAGGACAAGGACTTTGCAAATGCTTGCTGGACTTGGCAAGTAGCAGGTGCTGCCTTGTCACACATGCCTCCACTTTCTTGGGGGCTTCCTGGGCTGCAGAGTGGGTAGGCAAAGTGGCCAGAGTTGAGCAGTGGGGCTTTGGATGGGTGACGGTAATAGCACTCAGATGTGCCGGCTTTCCTTTGGGGTGGGGAGACTGTGTCATTTTTTATTCTCATTAAGATGGGCTGTGTTTTCCCTTTAGGAGGGAACAACAAAAATAGGAAGAGTGGACTCAGACCAGGAGCAGGACATCGGTAAGTGACAGCACGACAGGCTGACACGGGGTGGCAGGCGTTTGTGCCTGGCAGGCTCCTTGAGAGAACATGATGGTGTTCTGAGAGGGAGGGAATCCTCAAAGCATCCAGGGTCTGCTTCCCTGAGTGGTGCAAACGCTTAACACCTGGAGGCTAATCCAGAGGCACCTCAGAAGAAAGGCCTGCTGATTTAATCCCTCCCCAAATCAGTCATTGGAAACCCTGTAGGACAGAGTTCTACTCTGACCCACAAGGGTTCCCAGGAATCAGAACCATCTTGGATAGCAACTCGCCTGGTGTCTGGGGCATGCCAGGAGACCCCTCAGTGGGAGCATTTCAGACCTTCACTGCAGGAGGGCCAAGTGGCTCTTCCATTCCTGCCATGACGTGAGCGCTTCCAGATGTGGTTTGATCTCTAGGAATGGAGGGGCCCTGTCCCTGGAGTGTACCCGAACCAAGTGACCGTGGCCTCTTCTCAAGTCCTGCAGGGCCAGTGGATTGAGAGAGACCACTGCACGATCACCAGCACCTGTGGCGTCGTCGTTCTGCATCCTGCCCAAGGGGCCCGCTGCACTGTGAATGGCCGAGAGGTGACGGCCTCCTGCCGTCTGACCCAAGGTAGAAATGTCTGCAGCCCTGTGTGTTCCCAGCCCTGTTCTCACAGCTCACCCCAATTGCTCAGGGAAGCAGGCCTTCCTGATGGAGCACCCAGACTCAGCCAGAGTTGAGAAGATTTCCCAGTACTGACTCTTTCCCATAAACCAGCCCCAGTTTCCAAGCCCCAGGCTGAGACTGACTCTCTGAAATAGGCAGCTATGTTTGCTAGCCCTGTACCCACGGGAGCCTCAACTTCCTGATCTGTTAGATGGGGGTGATAATAAGATTGTTGTAAGAGTTGAATGTGTTCATCCCTGGGATGTTCGTAAAAGTGTGCTCTGTGCTTAGTACACACTCATCCCATCATTACTGTCATCATTACTGCTGTTGTCAGTGCCGACAAGTCAGTTCCCACTCATAGCGACGTCAACACAACAGAGCAAACTATTGCTGTCATTGATTTTTTCCGTCTGCCCTTGGAGGCTGAGCTTAATTCTCCCCCCTATCTGAAACTCACCTTGCTCTACCTTGGAGAAAAAGAACTCCTCCTGTTTCATTAATTCAACATACATGCTGGAAGAAATAATATCTCATTGATATATGACTTTTTCACTCAGCTAAATTACTAGTTTGTTGAGGGCAGGACTCTGGCTTGCAGGACAGCATCCTGCAACGTAATACGTGCCCAGAATGTGTGTGGTGTGTCCTTGTGTCACAGGGGCTGTCATAACCCTGGGGAAGGCACAGATGTTCCGGTTTAACCACCCAGCAGAGGCTGCGGTCCTGCGGCGGTGGAGACAGGTCAGCAGGGCTGCGTTGTCTAGGAGGATTAGCCTCCCTGCATGTGCTTTTCGGGAGAGAAGCTTGAGCTGCCTATCTGCTGGGGGTGGGCATGACGACAGCAGCCTCACTGAGCTTGCTTCCTTGTTTCCAGGTCGGAGAGGCTGCTGGTGGCACTGGCTCTTTGGAATGGCTGGACTTGGATGGAGATGTCACTGCCTCCCGGCTGGGTCTCTGCCCTTTGCTTTGGAAGGACAGGTGGGAAGCAGCTGCCTCACTGCAGTGGAATCTACTGCTTTTGCACCCTAGTCCGTCCCACGCAGAATGGAGAGGTGATCATTGGAGCAGCCACAGTCTGACTGAGGCCTGGTCTGAGTGGACTTGGGCACGCGGGCTTGCTGCTCAGTTATGGCTGGCAGGAAAGTGGTCTTTGCTCTCATTTCTTTCCTCTTTGGTGTTCTGGCTTTCCACCTCATTAAGATGAAACATTGTATGTTCCTGAGAGCCACTTTCCTGTCAAGAGGATTTAATTTAATGGAGACGTTTGATATTGCTTCTGAACTCGCCTCCCTACACCCTGTTGAATTCAGCCCTGCCGGCATGAGAATTCACAGCACGTGCTACTACCTTCCAGGATGAGTGCTTTCCTCTTTTTTTTCAGTGATAGGGTGTGACTGAGAGTCCCTGGTACTCGTGATCAAGGGTCCCAAAGGATGTAGAAGAGGGACAGCGACTCCAGGAGCAACAGGAACATATCTTGGGTTCTTACCCCAAGCCTATTTCACCCACGTTCTTATATGTTGCTTGTGGCAGCAGATTTACAAAAGTAGTAATGCTTCATCCATTTCAATGTAGAATCCCCTTCCCAGATGTAGAAGCAAATGAAACTTTCTTTTATAAGGATTAGCACAGAGCTGGTTCCCAGGAGGCCAAAGTTAAAGATGTCCAAATGTCCAGCTTCTCCAAACTGCTCTAGCCCTCCGCCCTCTTAGACACCAGCTTCCCCCCTCGCCTCGGGGGCCCTCCTGTCAGGCGGTTTGTTGCAGCGCCTCTCAGCACTCAGAGACTTACACAGACAGTGAAGTGGCTTACTAAGGAAGGAGCAAAGTACAGCGCAGAATCAGGATCAACTCAGATATGGCTCCTGGGTCAGCACAGCTTCTTGCCCTCTGCCACAGGGCCAGTTTGGGGTCTACTGGGGCCTTCTTCGGCAACCATTAAGGTCTCTTAGCTCTGTGGGCCAGTACGTCTACTGCAGTCATCTTGCTCTGGGCTTCTGGCCCCTGCCCTCTCCCATTGCCTTCTCTTACGGCTGCCTTCTGTGTTGCGGGTCCACGTCTTCTGGGTCTAGGAGATTCTCAGTGCAGCGCCCCAGGTCCCAAAGGGTAAACTCTACTTCCAGGTTCTCTTTCTGGATTGTAGTGAAGTTTCTCCTCTGCTGAAATGGGCTTTCTTTTAAGCCTAGCAGAATGGCAAAATTAATCAATCCCCTCAGAAGGGTTCCATATACCTTATTTGCATAGTCCCACCCCCACAAGGGTGCCATGCATCTAATTTGCCTTATTAGTAAGCTGTCCAATCTCCTTGGTGGGCCACAAGGGTTTTATTAGCATAGTCCCATCAAATCATGAGTGGAGCCCCGTTGGCATAGTGGTTATGCACTGGGCTGCTAACTGCAAGGTCAGCAGTTCAAAACTACTAGCCCCTCATTGGGAGAAAGACAGAGCTTTTTACTCCCATCAAGAATTACAGTCTGGGAAACACATGGGGCAGTTCTACCCTGTCCTATAGGGTCGCTATGAGTGGACAAGGACATGATGGCAGTGAGTTTAGTGTTGGTTTTTCTTGATCCAGTCATTTGGTGGGTATTAATGACCATGGCCAAAAAGGCCAATAAAAACCATTCATCGTGCGACAAGAAGCCTCAGAGTTTTTACCAGGAACAGTGGTCTCTTCCTATTAGCTAGAGAAACCTCTGCTTTGGAGACCCCTGTAGAAAATGTCAGTCGGTCAGCAGTGGGTCAGTCAGTACCTGTGAGGTCACAAGGTGCCCAGTACCTCTACCTCAGGTCTCTTTGGAGCATTTTGAGGGCACTTAGAGCCATGCTGCCTTTTTATCTGGCTGTTCGTTCCGGGAGCAGCTGGAGGCAGTCTGGGGTCTGACCCTGATGGTGCGAGCTGGTGAATGCTGGAGAAGAGCGTGTACGAGCGTGAGGCAGGTGCTCACAGGAGGACTGCTGAGGGCCATGGACAGTCCATGAGGGCTCAAGGGCAGAGGACTCTGGTGCTGGGGGCCGAGGGTTATCAGGGTGAGAGGTGACTCAGAGAATATCGATGGCACGGGGCACTTGGGACCAGGGCTGGAGCTCCTGTTCTCCTCCAGTTTGCAGTGAAGTCATAGCAGGAGGCCTTGTTTCTGCTGTAAGGAGCCGTGATGATGGTCAGGTTTTCCCCGAGTTCCGAACTTTGCGTTGGAGTAGGACAGAGCTGGTCTCATCCAGGCCCTACTACGAAAGCTTTTGTCATCTTGGGAAACTGCTGAACCTGAACTTGTTTCCTCACCTCAGAATTGGGACTGTGCCTCTTCCTCCCAGGTCCCCTTATGAGCAGTGGGAAGAATGAGTGTGTGTGGAGTGCCCTGCACAGCACCTGGCACAGCCCTAGTTGGAGGTTGTTGTGAGGTGCCTCTGGGCAGGCTGCCTCCCTCTCTTGTTCCTTCTTGCCCATGTGAACCCAGCTGATCTGCCCATCCCACGTCGCCCCCCCACCCCCAGCCCCATCCCACTGGACAACTGGCCTTATGCCTTTCAGGTCGCCATGGGCCTTGTGCTGACCTTTCAGAAACACCAAGAATGTGCCCTTTCACTCAGAGGACAGAGAGGGATCCCAGGAGCAAGGACTCCCCCACCAGCCACTGCCTCTACTCAACACCAGCCCTGGGAGCCTTTGGCTTGGCTGGTCCTGCCCAGCTCCCGTAGCCACCATCTGTGTGGCAGCCCTGGTGGTGGGGGTGGGGTGGGGTGGGGTGGGGATCAGGTCCGTGATTAGACAAAGGGATGGGGAGGGGAACTGGTCTGAGTTGGGGAGAATGCACACAGTCAGCTGAGCTTCTAGTTGGGGTCGGTGCCTGCATCTCCTGGAGAACCTCTCCCACTGCCTTTGGGTGGGGATGGCCTTAAGCCCCACCCCTTGTCCCAGACTTCCCCTCATGCGACTATCTAGGGGAGCGCTCGCGGGGAGCCTGCAAAGCCAGGGCAGACTTGAGCCAGAAGGATCTGGCCGTCAGCCTGAGCTGGCCCAGGGAGCAGTTTGTCCTTGAGAATCATCTGTTTCTCTGCTGCTGCCGCTGCTAGCATTTTCCCATTTTCATTTTTGGGGCTTAAACTTAAATGCGTAGAGCCTGGGAGCACTCGCTGCCCCGCCTCTGCCGCCTTAGACTAGACACTGCTGCGCCACGGAGTTCTGCGGATGCTGAGAGCAGAGGAGACGGGTGGGGCCTGGGCAGGCAGGGGAGCAGGTAGCCACAGGGAGGCGCTGGTGCCACAGCAGCTGAGGACAGTCAGCTGGTGGAGCCAGCTGCTCCTGGGCTAACAGTTAGCTGAAGACTTGCCCTTGGTAGTCCACCCAGACACGTAGCAAAAGGTTGGTATGTTCTTGTTCACCTGCTTTTTGGGAGCTTGGGTGAGGTGTGGATTTCAGTGTGACGGTGTGTGGCAATCATGGGTGACTGTGTTGTCTGCAGTGATCCTGCCAGACAGCCTGCCCTTGCTGGTTCTGTTGCTGGTGGTTTAAGTCTGCATAGACCACTTGTGAACTGCTGTTTCCTCAGGGAAGGGGAGAGGGAGCTCTCTCCTAGGGAGAAACAAATTGTAAATCTGAGGGGTGAGGAGACTGCAGAAAAGGGCTTTGAGTCATCGCAGGGAATTCCCAGTGATTCTCCCAGGCCATCTCTTGCATCTGGTGGTCTGTGTCTCAGCAGTGCTTTTTAAAAACCCCAAGGGCGCATGTGTCTAATTCAGTCATTTCTGTGGTTAGACAACATTTGAACCATTATAACACACATGTGGCACATAGCAGAAAATATTTTCCATTAGCTACTTTCTCTGCTCGTGTGTCATTAACTGACCTTCAACCTTACATGCAACCAGGGATGCTGTCCCTCTCTTCTGTGTGTCCCATGGGGTGTGCTTGGCCTAGGCCCACAGGATGGCTAGCTGGGCCGTGTTCCTTTGAGCACACTCCTCGGATTCCTTGCAGACAGAGTCCCCTCACAGCACCTTCCCAGGGAAGAGCCTGTGGCTGGATCAGAGTCCCCTCAACCCCCATCCGTCAGTTCTCTCTCCTCCACATTCTTTATTCTCATTGCTCAAAGGAACGCTACTGGGACAGCCTTAGTTAATATATAAATGCAGTGTGTGGTGGTGGGGGGCAGAGAATGAATGAATGTGTGTGTGTGTGTGTGTGTGTGTTTCCAAGGACAGCTTTATTTACAAAGTCCGGCCATATTCGGCCAGGCTGTGGTTTTCAGAGCCCTGCACATACCCTCCGGCTCTCTGTGTTTTCGCCCTGCTCTGCAGAGTGGTAACTCTTCTGAGAAAAGTGTGTCCCCAGTACACTGCTCACACTGAGCTCCAACCTTGTGTTGGGGGGTGAGCCTTCCCGGCTTACAGGCGCACTTCTGAGGCTCTGAGTGAGGGGACCTGGTTCCTGCTGTTTGTCATCCTCAAGAGAGCAGATCCTGAGCTCTTCCTGACCTCCCCTCTCCTGCTGCCCCTTAGACAGCTGACTGGTTCGGATAGAAGGACCTGAGCAGAAATGGTGTGTGTGGTTCTTGCAAAGGAGAGGACTGGAAGTGGCTCTGGGGAAAGGTTGGCTTGCCATCAAAGCTATGATTTTTCAGAGGACACATGATCGGCCTCATCCTTGATGATCCCCCGGGAACCTGGTGGCAGAGTTCATTCTTTTTGAGCTTTCTGCTATGGAAAAGCTCAGCCACATCCAAATGATCAGCTCGTGGCTGATCCTGTTTCCTTTAGCCCTGGATCTGAAGGGCATCCCAGACGCCTTCCCTCTAAGACTCTTAGCTCCATTTCAGGGACTTCTGGGAGAGAGGGGAGATGTGCCCTCCTTGGACAGTACCTGCACCAGGCCTCCATCCACACAGACGTGCTCTCCTCTGGCTTCTTCCTGGTCACTGGGGGGCGACTGTTTGAGGGAGTGGGGGCAGCAGGCATCTGTGAGCAGGTTGGAGTTTCTGGGCCCACCAGGCTTCTGAGTATCTGAGTATCTGTTCTGTATTTCCAGGAGATTTTCAGCAGGTGCCGCCCCATACACACACTCCCCCCCACCCCCACCCTAAGGATTAACTTCCTAATCCCAAAGTTCAAATGTTTTTTTGTTTTTAAATCTGGTTTCTTTTCCTGGTGATTTTCCTCCACCAGAATAGCAGTGTAGGTTTCTCCCACGCCAGCAGCTCTAGCAATATGTTGGTCATCGTGACCATTCTTCCATCCTGCACTGTGACATCACGAACTGTCTGTGACATGCTGCCTATTTGTCTCAAGGCCCAGAACGGTGGTTGCCAGAAGTCCAAAGCCCTTTCTTCCCTGTGGAATTCAGGGCTCACTGGGAGGGGCTTCGACTGCCACCAATTCATCTTGTGTTTGGCTTGCATTTCCCGGGGTGACCAGTGGCCCCTTCTGTGGCAGGAGAGTGTTGGGTAAGCAGTGTGAAGACTACCCACAGCCCAAGGATGGAGAGATGCCTCACAGGGCCCGGATGCAGCAGCAGCAGTGCTTTGTGGAAGGTTTGAGGCAGCAAATCCTCGAAGGTCAGATCAGAGCTGAGCAGGAGCTGAAGCTGGACGAGGAGTGTATTAATCAGCAGATTGAAGACAGTAGGTGCTCACTGCCCAGGGGCTCTGCCTCACCTTCTCTTTCTGCCTTGACATGCCCCCAGCCTTCTGTGTTCTCTCCTTTGTTTTTTTCTGTGATGTGACGGAATCCTCGGCTTTGGCCGTTCTGTCAGAGACCACAGGCTCTCCCAGGGGACTGGAAGCAGGAGAACGGGAACTCACTTCTTTATCTCCCCTCAGGATCATGGGCCTCCTCCACTCTCCTCACATACCCCCTTGTCCATGCTTTACTGCCGGCCTTGGCTTGTGCTCTCTGTTGTGCTGACACCTGGGGTTGGTCCTCACTTTTCCCTGTGGATCCTGCAGCCCTCACCTCCAGGTCCCCCTGGCCAGCTCTCCGACTCACTCAGGATAGCCATGACTGGAGGTGTCCTCGTCCCGAGACCAGGGCAGGGAGGGGTGCTGACGTTCCCTCAGGTGTGTTTGTTTGCCTGCCAGACCAGCAGTGGCTGTTCGGAGAAGAGACCTGGCTGGCCAGCTTGCAGCAGGAACGGCATCCCTGTGCAGCAGAGGCAGAGACAGACCCTGAGGCTCAGACAGGTCCATCTCCGAGGGTCCGGAGCCTGAAGCGGGTGGTGCAGCTCCGGTCAGCTGAGGGGAGCGTCTGCCAAAAAAAGGCCACATTCCAGCTGGAGAGAATCATCAAGACGCAGCAGCTCCTGGAGGCCCGGAAGAGCCTGGAGCAGCTCAAGACCTTGTGCTGGCTCCAGGATGGCTGCACCCAAGCGCCCCCTGACCTGGGCCCGAGCCAAGACGCTGTGGTCCCAGGGCCTCGACACAGAAGCAGATCCACCAGTTTCAGTGCTTTGAGCCTCCGGAGGCTTTTCAGCCAGTCCTTGCCCCAGCCACACAGGTACCACCAGCGGTCATTTCGGGGGGCCTGGCTGCGTGGCCCAGCCAGTGTTCTTGGCTTCCTAGTGCCTCCCTCTCTCCAGTCTGCAAAATGGGAAGATAAGTTTACTGCTTTCCACCCACCACCTGATTCTATTTCTGCCGTTTAGATCTTCTAAGACTCGGCCTCCCTTTCTCTCTGGTTCCCAGAGCAGCAGCTCTCCCTTTGGTCATGTCTTTAGCTCATCCTCACCCTCTCATCCCCGACTATCCATCTACAGCCCTTGTCTCTGTCCTACCATCACCTCGCTCTTCACCGTGCCTCAGCTGGTTCCATCCCTCTCCCTCTCTTCCTCCCTCCCTCCCCCCCCCCATTCGCCTCCAGCAGCCGGCCTCCTGACCCCACTCCCCAGCTCAGTTAGCACACCACGTCCTTTATGACTCCTGAGTTCAGTCTTGGGATCTCCTTGTTTCTTTTCTCTCCCTTACGTTCAGTCCAGGTGGTTGGTAGTCGCTCTGTTGTGGTTTGTCTTTGTGTGTCTGTGTGTGCCGTTTCCCACACTCCCTGGAGCAGGTGTCTGCCGCTTCCCTCTGCAGATCCTTAGGCCCCAACACAAGGTACGCATTTAATGACTGGGCTGTCTTTGCTCACCCCTCTGAGAAATTCCTCAGAGTACTAGACAGAACTTTTAAAAACCATGTTTTATTATGAAAAACATTCAAACATATTCAGTAAAACCTGCCAAAGTCAGGTTTGAGAGAAGGAAAACACAATGCTTTCTACTAATTGCATGTGGTAGGGAAGTGGTAGGACTGTATCTGCTCAAAGGTGGGAGCCCAGGAAATCCCCCCACCTGTCCGGTCTCTTGAGGAAACGCTCCACTGCACCTGCAGAAGCTTTGGAAAGCTGCCCTATACAGGGCGCTAATAGCAAATTGTCGATTGTTTCATTCCAAAACCAGGAGCTTTAAACTAGTGCAAAGTCACTTTTGAGGGGGCTTCGACACAATTATGGGAAACTGGGATGAAAAGATCTTAGGAATCTTCACGAACTTTCGGAAGCCCCCTCCTATACTAAGATGGACTCTGATTGTGCCTTTGACGGGATGCCATCTTGGTTTTCCTGATCTTACAAAACTCAGCTTATCCTCGAGTATATAGGTAATTTTCTACCTTGGACAGGTTCTGGCTTTTGCAGGTCTTACTGTACAAAATTAAGATAATACCCATCACCTGCATTCAGCAATGACCCAGATTTACCACCCTTTCTTTCTTTTTTTTTAAACATTTTATTAGGGGCTCATACAACTGTTATCGCAATCCATACACACATCAATTGTGTAAAGCGCATTTGTACATCATTCTCAAAACATTTTCTCTCCACTTAAACCCCCGACATTAGGTCCTCATCTTTCCCCTCCCTCCCCGCTCCCCCCTCCCTCATGAGCCCTTGATAGTTTATAAATTGGTATTTTGTCATATCTTGCCCTGTCCGACGTCTCCCTTCACCCACTTTTCGGTTGTCTGTCCCCCAGGGAGGAGGTCACATATAGTTTCTTGTAATCGGTTCCCGCTTTCCTACCCATTCTCCCTTTACCCTCCCTGTTTCGCCACTCACACCACTGGTCCTGTAGGGCTCATCTGCCCTGGATTCCCTGGATTTTCAGTTCCTATCTGTACCAGTGTACATCCTCTGGTCTAGCCAGACTTGCAAGGTCGAATTCGAGTCATGGTAGTGGGAGCGGGGAGGAAGCATTTAGGAACTAGAGGAAAGTTGTATTTCTCATCGTTGTTACATCGCACCCTGACTGGCTGGTCTCCTCCCCGAGACCCCTCTGCAAGGGGATCTCCAGTGGCCTACTAATGGGCTTTGGATCTCCACTCCGCACTCCCCCCATCATTCACTATGGTAAGATTTTTTGTTCTGATGATGCCTTATACCTGATCCCTTCGACACCTCGTGGTTGCATAGGCTGACCACCCTTTCTTTATCTTCCCACCTCCCATTTTTTCTGATAAAGTGCGTTAAAGTACATCCCAGGAGTTAAAAAAATAAAGTAAATCCCAGACTTTATATAATTTCACTCCTTTATCCTTACCTTGTTACTGTTCTGGACAACAGAATGGAAGGCTGCCCGGCTCTGCGCCATCTCACAATCCTGATTCCTGGGCTCAGTGGTGCAGCCACTGTGGCGGTCCCTCGTGCCGAGGGTCTTCTCTTGTGCTAACTTTCTGACTTACCCAGCATCACGCCCTTCTCCAGGGCTGGCCCTCCTGGTAACGTGCCCGAAGTCCATGAGACCAAGTCTCCCCCTCCCTTCTCAGGAGCATTCTGCGGGTGCTGCTTCCAGGACAGCTCAGTCTGTTCTGGCCACCGTGGTGCTTTCAGTAGGCTTGGTCAGCACCATCACTCAAGTGCATCAGGCCTTCTGAGGCTTTCTTTGCAATGACCTGTACCCTCGAGAGTTAGCCAAGTTTTTCAGCACATTTTTTATGCCGTTTTGTGGTAAAATTTGGTGCCTCTGCTGATCTTCGGGTTGGCTTGTTCTCGAGTATATATGGTATCCACCTTTCACGTGCATATGAAGGGATTGAAACTGTCATGGCTTGGGCCAGGTGCATGACTGTACTCAACGTGACAACCTCATTACAATGTCAGCATCACACATATCAAAGTCACACAACGTAATTACCTCAAAAAACAAAACTATTTACAAATCCAAGTGAGGTTTACATACTGCAAAGGATATGGCTTTTATGTTTTTCAAGTCATTCCTTTTGTTTCATTTTGATTTTTTCATATCATTAATTTGTCAAAAAAAATTGGTAGGTCAATTTTTCTTTTTTTATGTTAAATATTTTTATGTTAAATATTTTTTAATCATTTTATTAGGGGCTTCAACTCATCACAATCCATACATACATCAATTGTATAAAGCACATTTGTACATTCATTGCCCTCATCATTCTCAAAACATTTGCTCTCCACTTAAGCC